ACATCCTCCTGTAAATGTCCAGTAAGACCATCCATAACTAATGCAAAAAGACTTGGGCTTAAAGCCGATTCCTGTTGTAATACAACTGAAATAGGAAAATATTTGATCAATTCTCCTTCAGTTCAAACACAAGTAATAGCTCTAGTATACATGTCTTTAATGACTTTAATATAAGTCATATCAACACCTTTCTTCTCAAGAACTCTCCAAAGGATATCTCTTGGAACTTTATCGTAAGTTTTTTCTAAATAAAAAAAAAATTCGAGTGTAGATTCTCCTTATTATCTCTGAACTTCTCCATCAAACTTCTCAATAAAAGTATAGCTTCCATAGTAGACCTGCCCGACATAAATCCAAATTGATTATGAGAAATCTTTGTAATACGTCTTATCCTATGTTTAATTACCCTCTCACCCTCTCCCATAATTTTAAATTATGACACATCAACTTAATTCCTCAATAATTTGCACAATCTTGTGTATCCTATTTATTCTTAAAAATGGGGACCAAAACACTCTTCCTCCACCCCTCAGGCATTTTTTTACTTTTTAAAATAATATTAAAGAGTTTAGTAAGCCAAAAAACTTCAAAATCTTCTAAATATTTCCACACTTCAATTGGGAAGATTACAGGGACAAAACCTTCATTGAGCTTAAGCCTCATGTTCTTGAAAACCCTAGCATGATGGTTAAATAAATTTTCATTCACTTAGTATTTATAAAAAACCGTAAATTTTTTTGCTTCAAAATTTTGCACAATATTATAATAGAGTTTAATAAAACTTTTGCTCGGAGGAAATTAACCCTTGGATTAATAAGCTTACTAGATTAAACCCGATGTTTCAGTTGTCTAATTTCTTCAAAATTTTGCACAATATTATAATAGAGTTTAAGAAAACTTTTACTCGGAGGAAATTAACCCTTGGATTAATAAGCTCACTAGATTAAACCCGATGTTTCAGTTGTCTAATTGTTCGAAAGAGGACGCACCAACTGAATGCCACCATTGCAAGTTTGTCATTGGCTACTCAATTTGTTCATGAACATTGAATGTCAGTCTAGGCTCATGATTAAACCCACAAGCATTCTTGTTGGATTGTTAACAACACTCCCATGCTCTATCGCCTGCACCAAAGCCCTTGTGCTCGATCTCTCTTGCTTTCTCTAGCTCCTATGATCTCTTGTTCTCATACAAAGACATCATCCTTGTCTTCTTCTCCTCGTTCGACACTTGCTCACATGACTATGCATTGCTCGAGTTTGTCTCTCTTGATACAGGCAATAGTCTCACCACTTCATCTCCCTCACTGACGGGTTTCATGTTCTTCAGCTCTTCATTCAAACCTTCCGGCTCATTCCCTCATCTCTTATGCTCTCTTAATGTGTTCATCCACAAATATAAATTGTGTGGTTTCAATAAAAAGTGGTGTTGCAAAAATATGCAATCATGAATTTCCCAATAAATTCTCAGAAAACTTGGTTCATCAGTCAATTGAAAGTGCTCAATGTGTTGGACATGTCAAAGGACATGACTATTGATTCACACAGTCGATATCGAGCTTTGACAATTATCTATCGCTCATCTCTTAGTTTCATTTTGATCTGGTGGTAACCACTGCGCAAATAGATCTTGGAGAAGATGTTGGCTCTATGTAACTAATATATTAAATCATCCAACCGTGGAATGCAAAAGTGATAATTGATGGTGATTTTTTTCACAACCCTGCTTTTAATATGCATATGTCAAGAGTTCTCCTTGACAGAATCAGAGCTAGAACTACACACGGATTAGTGCTCTTATGGATCAAAACTTTAGCCATAATGTTTTTCATGTGCTTCTACGGCTCTTTGTACTTGGTTGGGTGCAAATGGCAGGCAGGTGAGTTTGTAAGAACAGACTTTGAGATGAAATTTATAGCATGTTGTATCTTTCTCAGTCATGACAATCGAAGAGATAGGCTGTCGGTATGGACATTCTGAAACTCTTTCAACTAGGCTACATTATGTTTGGTATCTGGTCCTCATATTCATTACCTTTTAGGACCATCAATGTTAGTCATATTGATGCTTTTCTTACTAGGTAACTAGTGGCGCCATCATCTCTTTTTCTGTATGAGCACCTATAGTTTCAGTCTTCTTTCAAGATTAGAGTATGATGTGCGCTTACCAATTTTGTTGTTGGATTAGGAATTTTTATAGCCGTCATGATATTTGTATTAGTCATGATGTTAAAGATGACCCAATAGGATGTGATAAATATTCATGAGTACCACATCACACCACACTTGCTTCAAAAACTTCTCTCTAACGGAGAACTCCACTAGGCATCTCTTGTCAACTTTTTGTATTTAAAACTCTATCGCACTGGAGTTGATGATGGCTGTTCATTTTGTTATAGCTATGACTAGTGACTATGGAGCAAATCAGTATTTTACCTTGCAAGTTCTCTCTAGATTAGTGTACGTGTAAAAAAATGATGTGTGATAATATAAACCTGTCTTAGCCGGAGATTGTTATATAAGCCTTTTCTTGTGTTCCTCGATGATTTGACCATGCAAAATACCAAATCAGCGAAGCATTTGCTTGATATCAACATTTAAGCAAAATTTACCTTGCAGTTGCTATTGCCACGAGCAATTTTTCAGATCCTTACATTGTCGGTTTTTTTTATATCGTTGGAGCATTCTAGTTAATGTAATTATTAAAGAACTTCAACCTCATGTGGTTTGATGAATGGAAGTCTAATTGGTTGTGAGAGCATTGCAATCATTTAACTGTCTTTTTTGAGAGATATTTGTTGAATATTTTCTGGCAATGACTGCATCATGGTGAAGGTGATTGCTTCTTTGTTTACTCTTGTTTTCGTCATGTTTGATTTGAAGTTTTAGTAGCTAAAAACATTTTCTATATATAGCTTTTGAGAGTGCCTATAGGTTTCTATCTAATGAACTAATTTAGTCTGTGTTCATGTTATTCAGATTCTTGACGAGATGCCTGTATTCTATAATCTGAATGTTGTAGAGAAACGTGAAGTCTTAATTGTCTTTATGCAAATCATACGGAATCTAGATGATGCATCCCTTGTTAAAGCATGGCAGCAGGGCATTGCAAGGACCAGGCTGTTTTTCAAACTCCTAGAAGAATGTCTTACTCTTTTTGATGTCTGTATAAAGAAATAATAAGAATTTTTTAATTCTATATAATGCATTTTATTTGGTTAAAATTGCATGTTAGTTGGTTCATAGTCTTTCCTGGCAATGGCAGCATCGGAGAGAAGGTGATTGCTTGCTAGTTACCTCTAGCTCTCGCAGTCCGGATTCTGAAGGGCCACTTATACCCAAGTATTCGGATCTCCTTTCTCCAGCAATCAATACATACCTTTCTGAGGCTTCTCGTCAAGAACTTAAAGTATGTATTTTACACTAGTTTAATTCACTTTTTCTACAAAAGTTTTCTTGCGTTGTTTTATTAGTGCAAAATGGCTTCTTAAAGCATCAAGATGTTTTTTAGTGCTTTGTATTCTTTAGTTGTATAGAAATTAGAATTTGATCCTGTTACGCTGGCTCCCAAAAAAAAATTTAATTTTTATCAGCCTAATGGAAATTTAGTTTTTTATTATTTATTATTTTTGGTATAAATAGGGCTTAATAGTTTAGGCTTAGGTTATGCATGAGATTGGGTATTGAATCTTAGGGTTATGGTTTGGAAGAGATTTCTTACTTTTTGAATTGTAGGGTTTGGGAGTGATTGCCTACCTCTTGAATTGCAAGTGTTTATCTTTATGTATTCTAGTTGTGTTGTTGGTGCTATTGAAAGAAAATAATTTACTTTTTCCTAGTTTATGTGGAGTTTCCTATCAGATTGGTATCAAAGCTTTCGATTCTGGGAAACAAAGGAATGAATCACATCATATAGTGGTCTAGCCCGATTTTTTTAAGAACCACACAAAACAACCACTATTCTCTAGCTGGGAAGCGAAGATCGAAATTACGACGTACGACTGCATGCCTTCACAGCATTAACCTCGTGATACAGTCACGACTAGAGCTAGTGGAGAAGGAGATGATGGGATCACGAGAAACAACACAAAAAAATTGTGTTTTAACTTAGTTGGGAATTGTGGCGAACAAGGCGATACAGTCTCTTGATGGGATCACAACATAGAACGAGCAAACCTCACAATATGTTCGCAGTAAGAACTAGCTGGGAAACTAACCGCTAGATTGTGGTGTTTCTGTCGTGAGTCAAGATAGCTGGGAAATCAATGACGTGATCTCAGCGTAAAGGACTTTCGCCATCGTGATCAAAATTTTTGAGAATAATGGAAACCATAAAAATAGATGCTTTGGAAGAGAAATTGAAGAAACATGTGAGTCAAATCAGATCTAAATTGGATGGGTGGTTCTTGTCTACGGAGGGGCTGTTTGAGGGGAGATTCATGGTCTTGGAAGAAATGATGAAGAAAGTTGTGGAATTTCATGCATTGTAGGCATTTATCTTTATATATTATAGTTGTTTTATATATTTTATGGAAGAAAGATAATTTACTTTGCCATAATTTCTGTGGAGTTTTCTATCAAATTAGTATTAGAGGAATTTTTTTCTAGGAAACCAAGGGATCACAACATACATGGGTCTGTGATGCGTCAAGCTGACTTCGTGAAGAACCCATGCGCAACAGTCCCTAGCTGGAAAGCTAAGGTTTGGATCGCTGCGTATGCCTTCGTGACATAACCTCACGATGCAGTCGCGACTAGAGCAAGCGGATAAAGGGACGATGGGATCACATGAAACCACATGGAACCGTCACATATCAACCTAGCTGGGAATTGTGGAAGATAGGGTGATACTGTCACTCAATGTGATCGCGGCGTATGACCAAAGCTCACAATACGGTCATAGTGAGGGCTCGTTGGGAAACTGAACACGGGCTTGTGACGTTTCTATTGTGAGTCAAGCTAGCTAGGAAGTCAACGACGTGATCGCAGCTTAAAGGAGTTTCGCCTTCATGATCAAAAATCTTTTTGAGAACAATGGAAGCCATAAAAATAGATGATTTGGAAGAGAAATTGAAGAAACATTTGAGCCAAATCAAATTTGAAATGGATGAGCTGTTGACGTCCATGAAGGGGCAGTTCAAGGGGAGATTCTTTGTGACATCTTATTTCAGATACCCGGGGGAACCGAAGAGGGGGGAGATGAAGTGAGAGGGCCGTGAATTCAAGTAGGTGAGTTCGCCTGATAAATCGATGCGAGACGGAGGAGGGATCGTGTGAATTTAAGCCAAGCTTAACGACTTGGAGAGTCGAATAGTGTGTGGGAGACGATGACCTTAAGTTAAGGTTTTTGTCTAGCTGGCGACAGCAATTGACGAGGAAGACATCATCAAGCAGAGGAGGTGAGATGCTCGACAAGGGCAACGAAGCTTGAGAACGTATTGACGTCGAGCTCCGAGTCAGTGTGAAGGAGCAGTAAGGAGCAAAGCCGAGCATCATGGGCAGAGAAGGCATAATCGCGTCCAGAGGGAAGAAGAAACTTTTCTTTGCATGGATTAGGGCTCGACCGAGGAAAAGTAAGTCTTAATAAATTTCATTAAATTAGGACTTTTGGTTATAATTTAAGATTGGAGGGGAATAGGAGGCAAAGTGTGTGAGCTAGAGTAGGAAGATTGATCCGCACAAACATTGGTAAGGAAAGTTTTGGTTGATATTATAATTTATTTAATAAATTTTAATATCAAAATAAATTTAAATATGATTTCATAATGTATAATCATGGAAATTTAATACTTAAATAACATAAATTCAATAGCTAATTAAAATAATAATTAAAAAAAGTTTTTAATTTTAATACCCATGTTTATTGTAGGCATCAAATTTAGAAGAATCGAGTTTAAGGCAAATCCATTAACAAAATATTCAACATTAGTACTTGCTTTTTTAATCTATAATAGTATTTTATTTCTTCTCAACTATTTTGCATTAGTCATTAATTATATTTTTAAAAATTTTATTTTGATGGATATGTCCTATATTGTTCACGTTTTTATTAATGTTATATGTTTGTAGCTACTTACTATCATGCATTGGCTAATGTTATATATATAAATATAAATATATATATATATATATATTCGGTCGCGAGCTCTGCTAGGGCTTTTGATGGCAATTTCGGTCGCAATTGATTCTACCGCTCGAAGAAGAGGACCTCGCATCGTCGACTCTCGCTCCGTCGTCTGCATCGGTGTCTGCGTCGTCTCTTGCGCTTTCTGCGTCCCGACTTCGACGATGTCGTCTCTCGTCGCAGTTGCTGCGAATGTGCCCGACAACTACGCTCGACGCTGCTTTCTTCTGCTGCGTCTCGTCTCTCGTCTCAGTTTCATCTCTCGCCCAACAGTTAGGTTTTCGACGCTGCTTCTGCTTTCTTCTGCTGCGACTGCCCCTGATAGCTCCTCTCTTTGCCAACTATTTCTGTCAGCAACCTCTCCTTGCTCTAATGACGCTTCCTTTTTCTTTGGTTGAGCCGGATAAAATCTCCTTTGCCCACGTGGTGGGTAACCCTCAGGTGGAGTCCGCGGTGGTATTCTTCTTAAGCTATAAGAAATGTCGTGAGAGTATAGATTAGTGAGGGCACAGATGATTGTCCTTTTGTTAAGAAAGGAAGTAAGAAAGGTGGAAAAATAGTAATCTTTTTCTTTGAATCAGAAATTTCTACCATGACTGACAGAAAAATTCAAGTTTGCTCTTATTGGAAAATTTCAGTGAGGACACCCTCCTATGGATGTTATCAAAAATAGTGTTGATTATCTTAAGCTAGTGACAAAGTGGAAAGTGAGACTCATGGATCGGAGACATGTGTTAATCCAACTAACAGTGTCTGAAGACTACACCATAATTTTCTTCAAGAAATATTTTAATATCGTAGACAAATCAATGAAGTTACTCGATTGGTCTCCTGATTTTGACCTAAATTATGAAACTCTCACTGTAACGGTATGGTTTAGTTAATCTTGCTCAAGCTGTATTTTTTTCACCATCGGGTTCTCTATTCTATTGGGGTCATCTTTGGGGATCCTTTGAAGCTTAATCTGCCTACTTTCAACCAAACCAAACCCTCGATGGCTAGAATACTTGTGGAATGCGATATTACTTTACCTTATTTTACTGAAGTTTGGTTGGGCACAACCCATAATGGTTATTGGCAACAAATCGTCATGGAGCACAGACCTCCATATTGTATCTACTGTAAGATGTTTAGTCATGTCCTTGATAAATGTCACAAGTTTCATCTAAATTTGAAATCTAAGGTTCAAGTGAATAAAAATGGGTCTAACCCCACTGCTCTGGACATTTTAGTTTTACATGGGGAGGATACTACCAGACAAGAGGTGTATGTTGCCCCTGAGGACCCCCCATGACACTGTTGTTACTGTTTTTGCGAGTGATGTGATATTGACACCTTCAAACCCCTTAGAAAATAATATTGCTTGACTATTACCTACAATTGATAGTGTTCAGGAAGTTACTCGATTGGTCTCCTGATTTTGACCTAAATCATGCAACTCTCACTGTACCGGTATGGTTTAGTTTATCTTGTCTCAAGCTGTATTTTTTTCACCATCAGGTTCTCTACTCTATTGGGGTCATCTTTGGGGATCCTTTGAAGCTTGATCTGCCTACTTTCAACCTAACCAAACCCTCGGTGGCTAGAATACTTGTGGAATGGGATATTACTTTACCTTATTTTACTGAAGTTTGGTTGGGCACAACCCATAATGGTTATTGGCAACAAATCGTCATGGAGTACAAACCTCCATCTTGTATCTACTATAAGATGTTTAGTCATGTCCTTGATAAATGCCACAAGTTTCATCTAAATTTGAAATCTAAGGTTCAAGTGAATAAAAATGGGCCTAACCCCACTGCTCTGGACATTTTAGTTTTACCTGGGGAGGATACTACTAGACATGAGGTGTATGTTGCCCCTGAGGACCCCCCCCATGATACTGTTGTTATTGTTTCTGCGAGTGATGTGATACTGGCACCTTCAAACCCCATAGAAAATAATACTGCTGGACTATTACCTACAATTGATAGTGTTCAGACTGATAATCAGGAGAACATCGTAGCTCCACTTCTTCAGAAAGTATCCGGTGTAGAGGCAACTCATACTTCACATATACTAGAACCTATTGAGGGTACTACGGTTGTTATTCCTTCTGCTTCAGCTCTACCACCCCATCAAACTGATTCTTCGGAAGAGGAATGACAGGTTTATTTCAGGAGGAAGAAGAAGAAGAATGGATGCCGACTCCAGCTTGGGAACATATTGGATGATACATTGGTTACTACTGGCAATGGCGATCATCTTACCAGTTTATTAGCTTGCTCATTCCCTAGAACTAGAGG